TTCGGTTCATGTGTTGATTTTTTCTTACTGGGTTTAAAGTGGCCAAAAAGTTGTACAATTGTTTTTTTTTTTACAGAATATTTCACATTAATCTGTTTTCTGTCGTGTTTGGAGATGTCACAAATTAAACGTCCTTTGTTATACGTATGATTATTGGAGTTTTATTTTCGCCCGCGCGATCATGAAAGATATAATAAACTGTCTACGAGATAATAAATGTGCGCGTATATTTTAGATAACAAATCTCGGAATATCATTGAGCGAAGTGTCCTGTTATTGTCATTTATGTAAAAAGTTATTAAATCTTGCACGACGTGTTTCATATTTATGACTTTTTAAGGATTTTTTTATATACCATATATCTACGTCATCGTAAATTGCGAAAATATTAATTGCAAACGAGATTCTTATTTTTTCAGCGAGCTTTTTTGTGCTGTATTTACATTGACATAGCTGTGAGTGGCACATGCCGTTTTTACCATGATGGAAATGACGAAATTCTACATGAATGTCAGAGAAATCGTAGGCTATCTCATTCGCGATTATTTTTGTACAACGGTGTATTCGATAAATGAATCGTCACTATGATTGCCTTGCCGTACGTATCAATGTAATGAGCGGCGTATAACGGAACGCGCTATTTAGCAAATCCTTAATTATTCGGAGAAAGTAGTACAAGTTGTGATTGGAAAGTGGAATGCAACGAGAAAAAGGTATAGCCTTCCGACTTCGGTTTTCTTTTTTTTATAATTATTACCGCATCGCGGTGAGGACTTTGCTCTTGAACTTTGTTCATAAATACAACGCATTTTTTTTAACTTGGACTCGAGATGACGAATATTATTGCGGTAACGCGTGACGTGATCTTTCTTTGTTCTCTGTCACAAATTCTCGAACGTTTTTATTTTCAATAAATTAATATTGTAAGAAGTGACGATTTATGATTAGCAATAGGTTAACGATTTTTCGACAATACTTTTATCGATATATGTGTCGTCACATGCTTATCTTATTGACTATGTTAATGACAGCTTTTTCACAAAAAGCTTGATTACGTCAGTGGCATAATTTCGTAACCTTTCGGTTTACGACAACTCGATAAAGTTTAAAGTGTTGTTTTCTCAACACGAATTTCATTTATCACAAAATCCTCGGTTGGCTTGAGTCCGCATCGTAAGTTGTTTTACAATTGAATGAATAGACGTGCTAGCCACTTTCATCGAGAATAGAATAATCTTGAGAAAAATCCCGAAGAAAGTCACACAAGTAGTGTGTTCATGCTTTAAAATAAAATAGTTTTCAAACGATTGAATCGAAAAAAGGATCTATAATCCAAAATCAAGTTTCGAGAATAATGCATCTGAAATTTTAGTTTCATATTTTGCGTACAATAAAGAATATTTCTAATAAATAATATTTTGTAGAAAGTTTTTTTTTATGTAGTTTTAAAAATGAGAGAGAAAGAGAGAGAGAGAGAGAGAGAGAGAGAAGGGGGGAGGGGGGGAGAGAGGGACAGAGAGTTGATATTACTCATGAAAATATATTTGTCTACTGTCTTTTCCGCAAGTTATATATTTTTTTAACGATAGATAGACTCCGATAGTTATTTTGTATCTTTTATGTAGGTATAGCTACTGTAATAAACATGGAACAGCGGATAAAAAATAAAAAAATATTGCTATTTCGTTTATTAGAAATTAAAATTTAAATGGAAATCGGCTGCATGAAATAATTTTTAATCAATTTTATAGTAATTTTTAAAAGAAATCTATCCTTATTTTGAGTATATTAGATTTTCTAAAATTTGTAATAAGTAGATATATTTTAAGATTATTATCAAGAATATATTCTCTTCGTTAAAGATAACTATTAATAGAAAGAAGGTAAATTGAGTGATCACTTTTCTTAGTACTGGAATGATATTTTTCGGTGTCACATTACAAATTAATATTGGGAAACTAATATAATAGAAATGAACTTTGTTCAATGATGATATCCGTTCTTTGTATTCATAAACCTTCCATTATTCGCGCGAGTAACATCGTACTTGACTTTATACGTTAATTTTTGCATCGTAATCATTTCTTCGAATGGAAAGAGAATCAACAATCAAGTGATTATTGTTCTTGCGGCAAAGTAAAATAGAAGAAGATTGAGTTGAAAGGAGAAATTCTATTATCTTTGTCTTACTAACTTTAAGAAAAATAAGTGCTGTAAGTTTTACTTTGCAGCACTTGATTTTCTATTTGCGTTTCTTCCTCTAAGAAGATTAAAAAAAAACTTGTGGCAATAATGAAGTCTGTTCTTGCAAGTATGTTATTTTGAGCTGTCAGGGTACGATTATTTCTGTCAAATTTAAACAATTAAAACTTTCATTATGCGCAAAAATTACTTGACGAGCTGAATAATATTTGCGGCGTATAACTTCCTCAAAATAATGTAATCGTATATTAATATTGTAATAACTATCTCATTACGCCAATGCATATCGTTATTCATGAAGTTGGATGCAATTTACTTTAAATTTATGTTATAGTTTATAATTAATATACAATACATTTATGTGTAGTCTATAATTAATACACGAATTATACGCATTGTCATAATATAATATTTGTTAATTGGTGAAGTATAAGTTTGATCATCATGGAGAACATAAAATTAGGGAAAAGTTTTTTAATTTTATAAAGCTTTATATTTAATTTTTAATAGTAAATATTAATAATTATAAGAAAAATAAAAAGATTATTAATCTATTAGCACTATGTTTTTGTATATTAATACTTTATATAAAAATTACTCTATGTTGTAGAATGTTGTAAAAAAATATTTATTGCGAAAAACAAAAAATTCTCAAATAGCTAAAACTGTAAAGATAATTCATTTTCTCATAGGTATATGCAATGTCTAGGAAAAAAATTTTGCAAAATATTAGTTTGTTTTTAGATATTGATAAACCGATTCTTCATGTGACCTGAATACATAAAAAGTAAATGATATTTATAGAAAGTTCCTTTTCTCTTGTTTCATATACTTATCATATTGAGATATTGAGCAATTTATGTGGTTTTGTTTTTGTAGAAATAGGACAACGACTATGATAACAGGCTAGCAGCGCACAAGCGTAATTTTCCTAAATAATCATAATCGCGAAATCACATTTCATGTCAGTGTTAGTCGTCGTTCGTCTATAATTAGGCTGCATTGTCACCCGACCTGTTTAGCCTAGCATGCAAGCGGATTTAATTTGACAAGCCGTAATCATCGACATGGTAAATTGCAGTTTAATTACCTGCAGTGCGACACTATTTCAGAGCTTTGCAGAAAACTGAATATATAAACAAACAAAGCGTATCTATAAAATACAAGAGATAATTCATCTATGTTTAAGTACCTCTAATTCGCATTAATCTTTAATGCTGTGTAAATGTTTAATGGGTGCATTGTTTTGTCTGGCAAAAATAGATGGGATTGAATTAATTGCATTAGTATTGGAAAGCTCAAGATATTGTCTTTGCTCGACAATAAAAAAAAAGTCGTTATCACTGTACAAATCTCTATTAGCTTTCGTAAATGGGAGAAATTTATTACAATGTTGTTTTTATTCCTTACTTTAAAATTGTGTATCTCGTATGGAAGCGATATAATTATTTTAAGATAAAAGATACTTATTTAGAATTGCTCGATTAAATAAAACAGGCGATTCCATTATACATAGTAAAAACGGAGATTATTATTTGCAATTTTACCATGTTTTATTCTCAATGCTGGATTTGATCGAAAATGTTGTTCGGTTGTTTTTTTTTTTAGTACATTTATGAGATTGCTTGTTAGCATAAATACATATATGTATAGGTTTGCAGCGTGGCGATCGAGGCCATATTAACAGTACGCGTTATCCGCGATCTCACTACCGGAAACTGTCGCGAAGTTGCTTCGATTAATACTCGTTCACTGCCGACAGGAAGCTGATGAGTCGCCGACGAACTACGATGAACGGTTTCTAACTTTTTGCTCGAGACTATAATGCATTTGAAAAACGTGACACGTTTGATAAGTCGTGACTGTGAAGGTTTAGAAATTCTTCAGTTAATATACGCATTCAGATGTTTGAACAAAAAGTACATGTAATACATGAAGTAACAAGAAATAGAATACATAAAATATCTAATAATTGTCATCATACCTGAAATATAAATTATTGTTTAAGTTGAATATATTATTGCTCATATTTAATTGATCTAATAATAACATTTAGCAGATAGGAATAAAATAAGTAGAGTAAAAAGAGATGTAAACAAGAGAGGTAAGCAGAAATATAAAATGTGTGAAGATTTATTGCAGATAGATAGATAGAGAGAGAGGGGAGGGGGGGGGGAGAGATAGAAGATACAAATAACAAGAGAATATTATAAGCATAAAAAATAGCGGTATAAAAGATGAATGGATGTGTCAGGTTAAAATAAAAGTGAATCAAGTCCTCTTCTTGGTTGTGATGAAAGAATATTTTTGCTGAAATATCTAAAAATTTAGCTAGACGAACTTACTGTACAAATCTGAAAATGATTTTGTTGGGCTATCAAAATTATTATGTAGAAAGCTCAAGCAATAATAATGAGCGACACTGTAAAAAGTTTTAATATTATAGCAACTAATTTGAGTGTTCTACATAATTCTTTCGATAGTTTAATACAATTATTTTCAGATCTGTTTCTAGCTAAATTTTTCTATACTTCAGGAAAATTGTTCTTTCCTGTGCTGAAGGTAATAAAGATTCTTCTTTAATAACATCCAGCAGCCAATGATCTCAAGATCCGTCACGTGTTCGAACAAGAAGCAAAAGAAGCTCTACAATATAATAACTTAATAAAAACTTTTCGTCACGTAGGATCGCCTCTTTGAACCATCGTGTGCGATCAATCTTGTTATTAAAGTACCGCCATCGGCCTGTGTGGTGCAGCGCGTAATCCACCGATTTATGCTAGAACTTTCCTTTGCAGGTATCGACAGTATATCTTCCAGTAAACAACGACGGTGCTGGCGGAGATATTGTTCATAGAAGCGACGAGCATCTTCGGAAACCAATTAAACCAACTGCTTCTCCGCGAGAGCGTATTTCTGTCTTGCGAATATCGGAGAATTGGAATCTCGTGATCTTCGTGTCTGATTTACGAATTCAGCGAGAATCAAAGCGATTTCGAAGCGTAATTCTCTGATTGTGAAATACTCGAATTTGACAAGAGAAAATAAGATGATGCTGATGCAGGAGCCCGGTTGGAAGCTGGAGCGCAAAGGTTCGGGGGCGCAAGTGTTGCGCAAGGATGGATCTCACTTCAAGAGCAACACCGCACGCATATGCTTCCGATGTGACGTGGAAATCCGGGAATTTGTGCCAGATGAAGATTATGGAATGACAGAGAACATGGAAATAGAAACGGCCTCAAGTCCCTTGGCAATGCTGTCCAGTTGCGTGGCAGCTCTTTGCGTCACTATCCTCTTGCCTTGGCTCCTGATTGGGGGCTAGATCATGCCGTTTTTATCATCGAAAATTTTATCACGGCGAGATGTCATCAATTGAAAAATTCACATCTGCAATATCATCCCTTTGACTGATCTACGAATGTACTTTGGTATTGGTATTCACCTATTCTTACGTCGGTGGTCCCAATAGTCGTTCAAGGTATACGGTTAACGATGGTTATAACGTGAATTCTTGGGTCGAATTCTCAAGGAATGTTAAGATGTTATTGTATGTTATAGTATTTATAATTATGAATACTGTAATATTTTGGGGCATTTTTTCGATTAGAGTAAAGTTATTCACGCTCAAGTGTCGAGCATTGCATTCGAGGAAAGACATCTAAAATTGCATGAGGCTGCGTCGCGTGACTGATTGTTCGACCGATAAATCGAAACAGAGAGATAGATAGATTATCGTTGTAATTACGTGTGTAATTTTTACATTTGATCGATACGATAATTCAGACGTTTGTGTTTATCAACTTTATATGTTATATATGTTGAAAATTGTGTGAATTATGACAATAGAATTTCTTTTACAAAAAATTTGAACGCGTTGAAAAGATTTCTGATCTGATTTAATATGAGATGAACGATTTTTATAACATAGCGAGTTGGTAAAGGTTCAGAACTCATTCAAATAATACGAAGCATTATGTTATAAACACATTTATTACGACAAAAAATGTGTTAAAACAACTTTATCGATTCAGCAAATCTATAGCTATATTAATATACGAATAAACAGTTTTTTGTCGTGTGTTGAAGTAACAAAGCTGAAATAAAATTAGCGATTATAGATAATTGTAACGGTACAACAAATTTGTTAATACAGTGAAGATAATTTTTTGATGAAAATTAATTCAACATATAGATCAAAATTTTAACGAAACATGCTATATAGTTAAGATGACGCATACGTTTGCTATTGTAATGAAAAAACTTACTACATTAACAATTTTCATTGTAGCAAAGAATTAGCTGATTGATTACCATATTGATAACTATTTATAGACATAATTACTTTGTTAAACTATGAAATTTTTTTAGCCATAGATATTTAATTCGCCTAGCAAGCTATAGTTTTGTTGAATCATCCAATCTATTTTCCGCGTATAGAATAAGTTGTAGTATTTAATGAACGAAACAGATAATGTTGATATGTTTGGATGTTATCCAAGATTTTCAATGTTATAAATAACGAGAATACTTGATTTTTTTGTAATTGTATAATTTAACGAGAGTTACTTGTAAGACATGTATATATATATATATATATGTCAATCTTATAATACGGTACAAAATTCAACATGATTGTATTTTGCTAAATGTTATGCAATCCCAGTTTTGTAAAGATTTTGTATGTATAATAGAAAGGTGATAAAATAATGAGTGTGAAAAAAAATTTGAGAAACTACCCGTTGTTGGCAGGTGATTGATTTCAACCTATACTTGCTACAGGTGGCACAGGCGATTCACTTCTCTTTCATCTTCCCTCTATTCCAGAAACCGCCGATTACACCGTCTGCTGTTAAGATTTAATGGTCTCGTACAACAGCTGTGCTACTGCAGATTTATCCTAGCCGTTTTATGGACCTCGCTGTATCGTTAGGTTTTAGATTAAGAGCCGAGTAACAGCCGGCTACGAATTCGCAAGACCACGTGGACGTACAGTTGAACTATAAAGCTGGAAAGGGTGTGGTATAATATCCTGCTCAGTACAGAAATCGTCGGTAAACTCGAAACAACATGATCGCATGGAATATTCCTACCATTTATATTCTGTCGATGTCACGAAGCGACGGCTGAAGAGGCAGCAGCCTCGTATAGCGGATAAGCTGTCACTTTTTGTAGCACAATTTCTATGTCCGCGTATAACATTATTTCTCTTTTTCTTTTCAATTCTATAATGCCACTTTGTGATGTAAAACGCAGTATTGAACATGTGAGAACCTTGGAGTAATAATAGTAATCGGAAAGAGACGGATTTTAACACAGTTTTTTATAATTAACTTTTCTCATACGTTATTTACAGGATACAATACATATGTATATTTCTGATTAGCTTTGAAGGTATACAGTGATTGTCATAAGTTTTTTGATCAATGAATCATTTTATTGTTTTTTTACTAAAAAATTTTTATAAAAAAAAGATATATATAAATAAAAATCTAGTATATTAGTTTTTCATATTTTTTAAAAATATAATATTTTGGTATTTAAAATATCATATTTTAAGTTGATTATAACAAGAATTTTATTAAGTTTTACTATAAAACTGAAAACAAGATTGATAAAAATTATCGTAAAATTATATACCTATTGGTCAGAAACTTTTGGTAACTATTGTACTATAAATAATGGAGATAAAAGAATAAGGAATAAGAGAGCAAGAAAATAGAAAAGGTATAAAGATAAGAATAAGGAATAAAGATTTAAAACTTTTACGAATTTTTTAGATTCGCATATATTACACATGCAAAAGATTTATCCTTTATAAATATCGGAGTTATTTTCTCTTACGATAATATCTAAAATAATCGATTAAAGCACAAGCAAGAATATACAAGAGTCTAGTTTATCTGTTATGTACGGTATTTCACCGAAATATGCTTCATCAAATTTACATAAAGAAAGTTTCAAAAATTGCCAATAAACTTGTCGATAGCAGCAGTGATATTATTGGCGAGACAAAGTCCTCGAGACTTTGAACTCTTGGAAGATACCATCCTCCAAAGAAAGTCTAATGATGAGCTGTCGTTAAAGAATGCTGACAGTAATCGTCTGTAACGTAATCAGTCATCGAACATCTGATCGTCCGTGCACCGTAACATTCATCGTGAGCTGACACCGTTATATCATACAGTCATAGCGTTCGCACGAGTATCCGATTATGATATAACAGTCTGAAGCGCGAGAAATAGATTTTTTTAAAGATGACGTCGACGCGACAATAAAAACTGTCCTGCCGTTACGTGAACTTACAGGGACTCTTACACTCGTGGTGTACCTATTATTTTGAAGTAATAATGTTATTGACATAATCATATTTCCGTGTATACTGAAAAAAAGAGTTTGATAATAGCTATCAAATGTTTAGTGAAATAATTAAATGTTTGGTTAATACAACTAAACATAATTTTACCTTTACAAGTATTTAGTAAATATTACCAAATGGTATTACCAACATTAATTACTAAATATTTATAAAGGTAAAATTGTATATGTTTAGTTATATACATAAACCAAACATTTGACTGGCATTATTTCGTTAAACATTTGGTGGTATTACGAAACTCTATTTTAGTGTATCTTGTATAATTTGCGTCATCATTTTGAGATATTGTTTTAGAAGATATTAAATTTGTACTTGAATTTATAGAATTATGTATAGGTACGTGATACTTTATCTTTTTTCGAATGAAATTTTACAAAAGTAATATTTAGAATGAAAGTTTATTTTCATAATTTTACAATACTATCTCTACAATGTTTTAAATTATAATTTTATTTTGTATTACATATATAATAATTTTATTAAATTTTTATGAAATTATTTCTTGTAACGTTAAAGAAATATGTTAAGTCCTCGAGACTTACTAAAGTTTTTTTATTACTAGTTTTATTTTTAGAAGAATTTATTGATAGAATTTATTGCTTTTAAATCTTGTTAGATATAAAAATTGTTTTCACAAAACACTATTTTAAATTATTCCTAGACTTGCCAGCACTCATATGTGTTTCGGTTATGGTTTAAATAACATATCGAGTGAATTAAAATTTCCTCGATATATACATATTTCTTTCTTTTACCATATACATAAGGCGAACATAAGAGATTTAAATTTTTCTCTCTTCTCTTCACCGTCTCAAATCCGTCTATATTTTCCGCGTATATTTCTTTGGCCTCTTGTAGACTATTGCTGGTATTGGTTCAAGGACCATCACTACCGTTATGTGAACGTCTTCCGTTTGTCAGTGGCCATAAATTCGTTACGCGTGGTCTTGCGTGCTCGCACGAGTTTACATTCGTCGGTCGGTGCGACCCTTGGAACGTACCTCGAGTTCTACTTTACGGACCGGAAAGATGGATGAGAGCTTCGCGGGAGGCGAGTTGAAATAAATTTCAACGAGACGAGAGGGGCTCGCGGTAAATTTTTTCGTTTAGTGAAACCGAGAGAACCTCAAAGGAAGAGCCGGTTTCTACTGGCTTATTTGTGCGCGGAAAACTTGCTCCTTCTCTCTTTCTCTCGCTCGCGCAAAGGTATCGGCGAATTCTATTGCTGAAGCGAAGGTGGTTCTACTCCGGACGAGGCTGGTAATACTAAAGAGACTCTCCCTCCAACCTACCTCTTTAACCTCCAACGGTACTGCACCTCGTGCAATTTCATGGAAGATTGCAACCGCTCGCTGAGATTTTGTATATTTAATCGACAATGCCGTTCGAAAATGCCGGAATAAGAGAGAAACTTGCAGACAGGTACTCTCGTGACGAACGTAACGTGATTATAAGCCAGCGGATGCACTTCTGGAAATAATTGTTACATAATTATTATAATTTGACGATCTAGAGGTAAAATTTGAATAATTAGAAAACCCAATAATAATACGCGATTTCTCTCTCTCTCTCTCTATAAAATAATGAATTAGCATTTTCGACGTTGCTCGTTTACTTTATTAATTATTACTGCAATTTTATCAATCTTTGATTCACTTGATGCATAGAATTATCGGCAAAATAACGTATATCATAATTTACTCTCCGATTTATTCAAAGGTTCTCTCGTGAGTAACGTCTAAAAAATTTAGTACTATCATTTGCAACTATAACTTATAAAGTATTCCGCAGCTGAAATATTTTATCACACATCATATCGCTCGAAATTTTTATAACGGAATTATTATAAGTATGCTGATACTTTAACTATAACGCGACTAGACTCGTAAAAAAAATTTGCAAAATGATGGTCGCGATATAAAATACACGACGTTGATTTTACTAAGTAGTCGTGAAAAGACGGATTTAATTGATAGATTATTCAATATCACGGTGTGCGACAAATAACGTCGCCTCTTTTCTCCTCGTTGTAAATGCACAGATAGAAATTTCGTTCGGTGAGATAGTGCCGGTAAATCAAAGTTTATTCGTCGTGTAAATCGCATACACGCAGTAAAGTGCCATCGTCAAGCGGCGACAATGCTATTGCAACAAATTGTGTGCGCATACGAGATTTGGGAGTAAACCGTGTATATAAACGCGATTATGCATGAGGCATCATAGACCGCGAAAATGTATAATCAACAACGTGCTATTTGTTTATGTTTCTAATAAAACGCAAACAAGGTACAGCCATTATTTCCGCGTCAGTTTCCCCTTGTTGATTACAAATCCGCAAATTGTTATCTCGCGAAGATCTGTTGCATAATTTACTTAATTATTATACAGAAAGAATGATTTTAC